TCTCCTGAAAGGTAAAATTATATTCCTTTCTCTTTTGTTTCAGCTACATGCTAAGGATCAGAAAACAAAATCCTAAATTATTTAGTTCTATGTGGCCATTTGGAGCCATAAGTAATGGGTCTGGTGTGCATTAAAATCCATTGGTTCATGTCATTGAGTTTATGATCTTGGTCCATCCATGTTCATAAATTATTACACTTTTTCTGAAACCTAGGATGTTGTCACTTTCCTCACATTCCCAACACTGCTACATAGACTTAGTTATTGATAAAACTTACAGGGCCTGCCATTTGGCTAAGCAAGCTTTCGATGAAGCAATTGCTGAGTTAGACACCTTGAGTGAAGAGTCATACAAGGACAGCACCTTGATCATGCAGCTCTTGAGAGACAATCTCACTCTCTGGACCTCCGATTTGCCCGAGGATGGAGGTATCGTCGTCACCATTTAAACTTTATATATAACATTAATGATGTGCATTAGTAAGTTTTTCATAAATTTTAATTATCTAGTGAAGAAAAAATGTTGGAAAAGTTGTGTTATTATTATCATTAGAGTAGTTAAAGCCCATTATGAGAAAGATATATTTCCAACTCGTAATTAATAAACCGTATTGATCCATAAATTTAAACCCCTTTTCACTACTTATTATAGTAACTCTTACTTTTGGAGAAATAATTATGTCTCACACAGATAGAAAGAGATTGATATATAGAGTCTCATAGCCAACTACTCTCTCTGTGTCTCTCTCTTGGAAACTTTGAAGGAAAATCACATTAGAGTAATGTGAAAGGAATTAGTTGCTTGCCTTTGAATTTCACCCTTTTTTCTAGAGCTACTTGTTTTTAGTAAAATCTTCTTTGTCTTCCTTGTATCATAAAATATATTATTATACTAATAATTTCTTTCTCGATAGTGAGGATTTACAAGAGTAATACTCATACATAAACACATGCTCACTCTAAAAACTTCATTAACACTCATGCAGGTGATGAAATCAAACCAGAAGAAATCAAACCTGCTGCTCCTGAGGTTTGAGTATAAAATTGTTTTCGCCTGTGTTTTGCATTATTTCTGTGAGAGTGTTGTATCAAGTGGTTTCAATAGAATGATGTAAAATGAGTTCATAGTTTGTCCTGTAATGAAAAAGGGTGTCAGCTAGAGTAGGATGGTCAACGTTTTAATCAATGCCTAGTAATTTTATTTTTGGTCAAAAAGCATCACATGATTTTCTAGCTCAAGAATTAACTCGGTTAAGAAATGCTTGCATTGGAATGGTAAGTTAGTCAATGCTTCAATTAATATCAGTTCATTTTCATTTTTGGTCAAACAGAAATCATGGTTTACAAGCTCAACAATTTTGATGCACTATTGGTATTTATAATTTCCGTTGACTTTTCTTTTTGTTTGTTTTACAGCACTGAGGGTAAGATACGTCTGCTGCGCCTGGAGCATTGCTGTTCATTTGGACCAGAAAATGCAGATTACAGCTATTTCATAGTTATTGTGCTTTCGTTACATATAAAAACAATGCTAGAAAAGTTCTACTTGCGGCTTTTATTTTTAGTTTACAATTTTTTTACTTTACATTCCTTATATCTTAAACTTCTCGTTTGTAGTAATGGATAATTTACATATTTTACTCAAAGATTTTTTGTTTTTTGAGACTTCAATCATGTTTCTCGTAATTTTGCACTTGGACCATGAAAAACGAAAATGAGTTTCTTCCTTCTCCGACTATGGCAGCTCCTCTCTTTCCATTTCCTTCTTCCATGCTGCAGAGGTTTCTCTTCGATCATATTAGAATACATCTTTATCATGATTCAACGTACATCATTAATGTTATTTCTTTAAATCTCTATTTTTTTTAAATTAAAATCGTCATTGATTTTAAGGATTTTAACACGAATAATGGATAATTATTTCATTAGATTGACGTTGATATTAAAATTTTGGTTTTAAAATACAGTTTTATAATTTTAATTAGTTTATAAACTGTGTTGCTTTCTAAAAGGCTAGTGATTTTAATATATAGTGTATTTGATATTTTAAATAAGATATTATCAATTTATTTGATTAGCTTGTAAGTTAACTTCAATGCGTAAATATTTGATCAAATGTTTAAAATAGTTTACTTTAAAAAAAATGTATACTAGATGTTACTTTAATTAACACATAATTATTTTAATTTTTTTAATTTTTTATTGTCTCAAATTTCTGTTTTACTTATTATAACATTTTTTTTTTCATTTAGACAATTAATTGTTATATTATTTTTATTTATGTTAGATTACTTTTTAATTTTTTATGGATAGTTTAAATTTAAAACAATTAACATTAACATAGCTAATTTTAATATATGATGAGTTAAGGAAATTAAACAAAATAAATATTTTAAGAGATAAGTTTAATGTAAGACTAGTAAGTTATATAGATTGGTAAATAAAATATTTTAATTTCTAAAAATAAGTAAAATTAAATTGGAGTAATTCTTGTTAAATTAACTAGTTTAGATAAAAATAACTTTTTTTTAAATAAAAATAACATACACAGTTTTTTTTAAAAATAAATGGAAACATAAATTTTTTTAATAAGAATTTAATTATATTTTAAAAAATTGTAATATTTAGTAATATATAAAGGAATTTTTCCGTTTAGTGTACATATTTAATATTTTTATGTTATTCTGACTATATTTTAAAGTTAAGGAAAAAAAACTATTCAAAATTTAAAAGTAATTATATATACTAATGAAAACATAAATATGTGTTCTTAACAAAGCATAATAAAAATATTATTATTATTATTTTTACTATTATAAAAAAAGTTAATGTAAATAATTTTCTCAATTTTACTGTATATAGTTACTTTAGCTTAAAAGTAATTAAAAATAACAATCCAATGAAAAAATATTAAATTTTAAAAATAATCACTTAAATGATAAAACTAGTAAAATAATTATTTTAATTTAAGAAAATGGTTGTTTAAAGGATAAAAGTGAAAAACACATAAATAGACTGAGAAGAACACGAGAGATTCAACATTACATTTATGTAATGATTATGAAAAGATAAAAATTATCTTTTATTAAAATGAAAATGGTATTAAATTTATAAAAGAAATTATTTTTAAAAAATAATTGTAAAAAGGTAGATTCAAAGTTTAAAGAAATTTATATTAATAAAGGTAAAATAAGTAGAGATGTATACACCAAAAAAAATAATCAGTTACCAAACCAACCCTTTTTTTATATATACTAGCTTAACGTCATAAGTACGTGTATACACATTTTATAAATATTTATAAATTATTTAAATTTTAAATGTAAAAAGGAGTAAGAGTAAAATTTAAAAAATAAACATTGTATATAAATATAAATATAATTATAGATAAAATAAATTTTAGCTATTAAAATAAAAAGTATTATAAGTAATATTGTGTAAATAATATTATACGTAATTATTTAAATTTGAAAAAGTAATTACTAAAATAATAAAAGAATAAATATTTTTTATAATAAGTAATTATTTGAATTTTAAAAAATAGATATTAAAATGATAAAATTTAAAGATAGTTTTTTCTATTATGAATAATTATTTAAATTAAAAAAAAAGAAATAAAAAGGGAAAAATTAAAAAAACAAAAAAAAAAAAACACTTAAAAGGTGTATCTTATATATGTAGTTATATATTAATAAAAACGTATATATTAGTAAAAACCTATATATATTAGTAAAAACAGCATGTCTTGATATTAAGTCTTTTTATATATACCAGTAAAAACATATGTCTTAACCATTTTTTATGATAATAAAAGATAAGAAAAGTTTTATTATTGTTATTATTATAATTATAAAACTAAATAAAAATAATTTTATAATTTATTGTAAATAGTTTTTATTTATTTTTTAGGATGTTTCATAATTAGAAAAATGGTTAAATTTAAAAAATGGTTAAATTAAAAAATAAAAATAAAAAGTGGTAAATTTGATAGAATAATTATTTTAATTTAAAAAAAATTATTTAAAGGGTAAATTTGAAAAAAAAAATGTGAAAAGACTCTCCTAAGTGATAAACTAATTTATAAATTAATTAACCAATTGAAAACTTATAAACTACCACCTAATTTATTAGTGTGAAACTCCTATGTTGACAAGTACTTTATCATTTAAAAACTAGTTTATAATAATCTACCAGTTAATTTATTAGTCAGTTTTCACTTATAGTGATTATTTAACTATAAAACTATTATTTATGTATTACTTTTTTTGTCAATTATTATATGTTGCTCAGCATATTTTTTTTCACCTTCTAAAGTTTTCATTTAAAAAGAATGATGGTCATAAAACTGATTATTTGTTAGGATTATTATAAATTTCAAATTTGAAAGTCAACAACGGTCTATAATTCAAGTTTTGTTTGTTTATCTTAATAGTGTGAAGCATTTAATTATTTATTGAGTAGAATTAACTTCATTAAATTTAATTAGATTCAACTGTCATTTTAATATTTAAATTTTATAAATGAACATGTCATATTTATGTTTTTTTTGTAAATTTCCAACTGTTATCTGTTTAGCATATCAACAAATGAGTTAGTCGAACCTAAGATCCATTTAAACCATACCTTAAAAATAACTCCTTTATATATCCTTTGAAATGTTAGTTATTTTTGGTAACATGGCTATTTGATTTGAGAACTCTTATTTAGTGAATGACATATTTTCAAATTGATAAATTATGTTACCTAATCATGAAGACATAGAAACAATAATCTACTGTTGCTGAAGTGGTGATGTTTTAATTTTTTTTAAGCCTACCAAATTCACAAGTTGAAAAAAAACTCTCTTATGCATTACCCTCTCTTATGACAAGTCTCACATGGCTGTTCCATTCCATAACCATTACCCTTTCACACCCAAAAACTTTCAACTCAAACCACAGGATCATGGTTCAAGTCAAAATATATGACAGAAAACAAAGCAGCCGTTCAACTTAGAACTCCAAAAAGCTATTTACACAATTTCCCATAAAACGCACACATTCTTCGTGTCTGTTACTGATATATATAATTTAATAATGTAGAACATAAAGGAAGTTAAATCACTTCTGACAGAGATTAGTCCTTTCTTGTCCTAGAAAATACGCATTATTTTCCTAAGGCTTATTCTTTTCCTAAGGCTTATTCTTTTCATCTTCCTTGCTTTCTATCAGCCTCTGACACAAATAGCTCCATCAGCCTCATTCAATTGGTCACAAAATAAATAGTTCTCAAGTTATGGCTCTTTTTGTGTATCTTGTGCTTTTCCTGGCCCTGACTCGTCGTTCAAGTAAGTACCTGCACTGATTCTTGTGTGTTTCTTCTAAAGATTCAACATTTGATTTTAAAAGTTCTTTTCAGAAGTGATGAACGCCCTTTGGTTTTCTGGGGTGGGTTCGTATGATGAATTGCAGTTCCTAGGCTTTTTCCTTGCTTTAGTTTTGGGGTTTTTCTATAAAGGGTCTTCTCCACTGTTCTGCAGAAAGATGAAAGTTTTTGGAGTTATTTTAAGGACTAAAGGAGTTTTGACCTTTTTTATTTATTTATGTAAAACATGTTTCCCATGTTGTTAAATTGACTTATGGTGTGAAATAACCTTTTTGTTATGTTTCTGATTTTTTGATTTGCAATAGGTGCTCTTTACTGCTTATGCAAAGATGGTGTTGGTGATCAAGCCCTGCAGAAAGCAATAGATTATGCTTGTGGAGCCGGAGCTGACTGTTCTCCTATTCTCCAAAACGGAGTTTGTTACCAACCCAACACTGTGAAGGATCACTGTAATTATGCAGTTAATAGCTATTACCAGAGAAAGGGTAATGCTCAAGGAACATGTGATTTTGCAGGTGCTGCCACAACCAGTGCAAATCCACCTGGTAAGTGTACTTCCAAATGCATCTTTTTTCGGCCACATGTTCTAGAATTTCACTTTATTAATGCTCTTATCTTTCTTGTGCTTTTTTTTTTCTACAGCGACATCATCTGGATGTGTCTACCCCTCAAGTCCTAGGTATGTGTTCTTTGATTATTATGGGTCTCATTTGATTTCTTGTCGTTTTATCTGTCGTGCATCCATTTAATCGGTTAAGTTCTTTGGAAATTCAAGGAATTTTGAGGCAATCGAGTGTGAGGTTGGAATCTTGATGAAAAACCCTTTCTGCTAGGCATTTTATGGGTGACTGTTGGGGTCTTCCATCCAATAATAAATGGTTTTTCTTGTAACCCACTTTTGTGTTCCTTTTAAGTCTCTTTCTAGTTTCCATTTTTTGTGTTTGAGGTGAATGGTGGCATTGGATAATTTTAGCATTATACCCTATTTTATTAGCATCTAAATTTCACTTAGCATAATCCAAAAGGCATTTTGAAAAACTGGAACTCATTTGTTTTAATTCCAAAGCTGGCAATATGACTCTGAAACCAGATTGTTTCATGTAATAAAATCCCTTTTTCTGGGTTAATGCACTCACCTCCCTGAAGCAGAAATTCTGAATTACATTCTTGCAGAAAATTTATCTAATAACAACGTCACACTTGCATATTCTGTTGAAATATGAGCTGGCATGATTAGGATGTTTCACAAACATTTCTTAGGACTAAACTTATGTATAACATTTAATTAATCACCCAAGGTTATGATAAAATGAAACAGGTTTTGATGCTCCTTTTATTTTGGCTGTCGTGCAGCAATGCAGGAACAACACCATCAACTGGATCACCACCTGGTACAACTCCTGGTTCTCCTACCCCAGTTGGAATAAGTCCAACATCTACAACTGGTTTGAGTGGCAATGGAGCTAATTTGGGAGGCATCAACTCTGAGTTGCTACTGCTATCTGTGCTAACCATGTGGTTAGCAATCAGGGTGTAGCCTAAAGGTACAATGCACCATAGAAAAGCTTGTGAGGTTTTCATGTAATTTTACTTCTGGGAATCATCCACAAGCAATTCAAGCACACCCGTTTTTGTTTTTTTCCTTGCAAGAGAAAAAAAAAGTAGGAATTTGGTTCCTTTGTTTAGTGCTGATATATGTTGATTATGATTACTATTGAGGGGTTGGAAGTAGCACTTGGCTTTTCTCCATTTGTACATCTAAGACTATGACAGACACTATTTTTTAATTTAATGGAATCCGGCTACCCCATTTTTATAAACTATTCTGTTCATCATTCAACTTCATGTTAGCTGGCTACTCTACGTCTCCGTCACTCACATTTTAACCTTTTTCAATTGCATCTAAAGCCATAGTACATTTTAACCTTTTTAATGTTATTATGAGGTACATGCATTAGAGTTTTTTTCCTCTGTTTTACAAGTATCACATTAACTGATTTGACAGTAATCGGTGTAAAATTAGGAGCCTGTGATATGGTACTCTTGCTACTTTATTATGAGGCTAATGGGGTTTTGAAAATTCTAAGTTCCCAACAGACCAACCAGTGCATATATTATAGAAAAAGCAAAGGTGGTTCAAATGTCCCTGCATCAATAATACTATGTAACTTGTGAGTTTTCTGAATTTTCTATGTCCTTCTCTTTCCTCTGTGGCGTTTCATTCATATCGTGGAACAATTTTTTTCCTCGGACGTAATTGCTTCTAAAAGTCAACAACACCAACTGAGAATAAATTTGTTTCACATCATGCCATGCATAGCCGACAAATCTGAAATAAAAAATAGCACATGGTTTTTCTACTGTTAAAGGCAACTGAAATAATAAAATGTTATTTAAAATTATCGTTTGACTCAAATGATTAATATATATACGTGTGTGTGCATAAAAATCATTTTATACTGAGTTCTTGTGTTATTTTCTAAAAATATTATCAAACAGTTACATGATTTTTTTCCCCTCTAGATGGTGTGCACGACTCCGCCAATATATTGAGGTTGGAACTAATTTATGTTTATAGAATGATTGTTTGGAAATTCCAACCTGTTTGAGGCTATGTAACTTATTTGGTAAACACCGTAGTAAGAGAATCTGAACAAAGATAGAGAAGAAGAGTCCAAGTCACAGCAATTAATGTATTTTGCTAACTTATGAATAATAATCAAGTTGCCAGTTGCCACCGTCACAAACATTTTTCAATGATCTATTGCTTTCTAGGGTTCTTTCGTCCAAATTAATGACAAAAAAAAATGGCAATGTCATTTTCAACACGAAAATACATACAAATTTGAATTAGCATTAGAAGTTGATAATCTTAAATATGGCATAGTTTGGTGCTTTGGGTCAACCAGTAAAACTGATTAACATTAAAAAGAACTTCAATGCAACATCAAACAACGGTTGTAATAATTTTTGTTGAAATCAATATTTAATTTGTAAATTTGTAAGATCTAGAATTTTCCACAGCATTTTTTATTTAGATCTCATCCATGATCGTGGCAAAGTAAGATTATGAAAATCATCAAACAAAATCATAAAATCATTTAGATTGTCATTTTTGGTAAATTGTCTGTTAGACCGCGCCTATTCATCTTTTTGAACGAATGAATTTAGTTTAAATAAAATTTCAACGTAATATAATTAAAAAATTATCTTATTATAACACTACCCAACTAAAAATTAATGCGATCAAAAGTTGATAATTTCTTGGCAAATAAAATTCCAATTGAGACAATTTAAAGCCAATTAAGGATTAAAAATGTTTTTTATTACACCCTTTATTATCTTGACTGAATAGATTTCAATTAATAAAACCCAAGTAAGGTATACATTTAAATGTGATAAGATTTTCGAGTTCTCACGATCCGAACAATAATTTTGATGTTAGCATAATCTCAATTTTGACAAATTGGCTGTGATACAATGAATGTATTTGGTAGAATATTAACATAATCAGAAATCGTGAAACAAGAGAGAATTGATGTCTTAAAAGTGAGCATGAAGCATTGAAGACATAAGAAAATGGTTCCTTCTCACAAAGGTGAAACACATTCATTTTCTGTCGTGCTCTTCTTGCTCTGAACAAATTCAACAATCAATTTGACAACAGAATCTGGTCTTTCAACATGAGGAAGGTGACCACAATCTGGTATTTGGCGTATAATGGCATCAGGTAATTCACAATGAAGTCGCTGAAACAGTAGAAGTTCGCAAGTTAACTGCAATCATTGATAGGAAATATAATCTCCCAGGATCAATAGAAAAGTGGAAAATGTGCTGTGTACCGACTTACCACACCAAGCTTATTGCTGATTATGCGGTCATTCTCCCCCCAAATGATTATAGTTTTCTGCTTTATCTGTTAAACAAATTTAATTCTGTATCAAAGCATATTGATTTAGTGAAGAAAACTACTTCTCTTATAATGCTGAATTTGTTATGATATCACACGTCTGAGTTGGGAGTCTCAACTTAACTAACTATAAATGAGTAATATGAAAAATATACAAGAACAAACACTTTATTTAATAATTCGATTATAAAAAATGAGTTGTCATTTTAATTAGAATGTAAATAAAGTATTGTTATGGAAATCACTGAGACATGTGAAAACTCACACTTTGCTTTGAAATCCAAATACTCTTAATTGTATTCATTGCTCACACACACTTACACTTCTACTTTTATTTACTTCACAATCAAAGAACACTCTAATGTGATTTCACTACTCTTCTTTTCGGTACACATTACCGTGAGCTCTCTATTTTTTCTCCTTCACGCTTCACATCCAATGTGACTTCACTACTCTTCTTTTCGATACACACTACTATGGGCTCTCTATTTTTTTCTCCTTCACGCTTCACATCATTACACTCTACGTAACTCTCTCTTACAATAATTTAAAACACCATCACATTCAATACCACCACCTACAATGCTCCCTCGCAATTATGCAATTGTCATGGTGCCTCTGTTGTAGGACTCAATTATTATAGTCACCGCACTATCAAAATTCATTGGCATGGTGGAATTTTCTCCACCGTCATCTTATTCACAAGGTCGGTTATCTATGAATAATATTACTCAGACATCTCATATTTTTCATATTCTCGATGCGTGGATTGTAGTTTGAATTTCTGAGCTTTCTCTACTTCTTTGTATGACAACTTCAAAATGTCCAAGCCTCTTTGGCTGTTTTGGCATTTCTCAAAAATTGAATAGTCTACACCTTGGAGAATTTGAGATAGCGCCAACTGGTCCTTCTTCCGAGTTGTATCATCAGCTCCTTATTGTAAGCATGGTTCAATAAAACCCCAAATATTATGAGCCTTCAAATGGATGCACATCAATAATGCCCAATAAGTGTAATCTAGTTTCCTATCTAATTTGGGACCAGACCAAGAAATATTGTAATTTATGGCCATCTTCAATAGATTCTACAAATTTGATAAACTAAGAACTTGCTTATTCCTCACACACTCAAGTTTTTTCTTTTTAGTGACTCTCTTACAAACTCATAAAACCAATGTTGAATCTAACTCACTTTGCTTTGAAACCCAAACACTCTTAATTTTATTCCTTGCTCACACAGATTTATGTCTGTTAAGAAGTAAACTTTAAATCTAAGAGGTGGACTTTAAGTCTAACTCAATCCTACAAAATCAACTTGTAAGTGAGGTTTGCACCCACTTATATATTATAAAATGTGTATACATGAAAACTCTTTATTTTGTTATTTTGGTATGAGCTTAAGCGTGGCCGTCTCTATCTATTTGGAACCCTTATTTTATCTCTAAGGTGTGAGATCATCTTAAATTCAAACCAAGATAGTAAAAAAAGTTATACACAAAGTGTAGAGAATAAGAGAGGAAAAAAAAAATACTCGAGACATCTTCACCAACTAAACAAAATTTTAGTACAACATTCAACTCAACCTTAAAGCATTTCAATTTGTGTTTCTTATCTATGTCGTAGTCAACTTCTTCTTTGTTTATCCGGTGTGAGATTTCATATTCAAAGTTAGACACTAATAGGAATAAAACTTACCAAACATGAGAGTTCAAATTGCATCAATCATCATTAACATAAAATAAAAAAAGCTGACACGTGCCACCAACCATGCAAGAGATCTAGTGTATATAGCAGCACTTCAATCCACACTCTCAGAAAGAATATGAACTTTTAATGGAAATCACTGAAAAAACTATGAATGAAAAATTTACGATAAGCCTGTTCCTAATAACATACAGACCTGTAAATAAAAAATTGAAATTATAGCCATGTATACCTTAAAAAGATGATAAAATTGATTTACTATGGGGGCAAAAAATTTAATGTGAAACTAAATATTGATGAAGTTGCAGACATAAAAATGCCATTTATCACATTATTCTTCATCTTGAGCTAAGACGGCTAGTGATAGATAAGAATAGAGAATGAATTTTATAATCAACAAATATGTGATGTTTGGATGTTAACTTTCTAATCATGATAATTTATTTAAATAAATTAAATTTAATGTTATTTTTATTTTGATGATTGATTGTTTTTGGAAATACATTTTATTTTTTCTTTAGTTCTTGCTCAACATTAATGGAGTCTTGAGATAAGACTTACTTTTCATTTATCTTTTCTGTTAAAAGATAAAATTAAAACGATTAATTTAAATGAAACTTTAAGAAATGCCATTTAAGTTAAAGATTGTGTGCAGTTACATAAATAATAAATTTTTATATGGAAAAAATGGGGTAATTTTTTAGAAAAAAAATGTGAACACAGACTACAACTAATAATCTATTTTATTATTGTTATCAATTACAGGTTATAAATGTTTTTCTTAATAAAGAGATGATGAATCCCTAATGTTAAAAATTTAATTATGGATATAATCATTTTTTCTGAATCTGTTTTCTTGTTAACTTAAACAAACCTTTAAACTTTCTATCTTTCTCTGTATTCACTCCTTTATATCTCTTTAACTTTCTCTTCACCATCCACTATTCAAAATTGTGATTTCTTTAATTTAGTTGGAATAATCCAAATTGAACTCTGAAGCTCCAAATATCGGTGTTTGGTGTTGCTAACTCTCCTTCCATCATCAATGGTGGGCACTATGTCACAACATAGATTAATTATTCTTTCTCTAATTTTCATTAAAATATTTTTTTTTTTAAAATTAAGAGAGAATTATTGATGATTTTATAACAAATAGTATAAGAACATGAAGACACCAAAAATCTGATAATGGGTGAAAATACCTGTTTTATCTGGGAGACAACATTATAACCACCGCTAGTCATAAAATCAACAGTGGCATCCTCCCACCATG